ACCTCTTACTTCGTTAACAGTAAATATCTTAAATAGCCAGTCAGGTTATTATTTAAGATCTGAAAAACTAAAATGCCCTGGTCATAGAGACATTTGTAGTCGGGAACCAATAACACTGTTTTCTTTTCATTCGCCAATGGGCCATTCTTCTGAAAGTATAATTTTGCAGTTAATATATTCTCTGCTCTTTCGATTAATTCCAAGATACCGCATACTGCACCACAGAACAACCTGGTAAACTCACACAAAAGTAGAACCGGATCGGGCATAGCACGGATCCCTGGGGAACACCGAAGGAAACATTTCTTAGAGAAGACACGGCGTTCTTGGGCCTTACTGCCTGTGACCTGTTTGTTAGATAATCCCGGATCCAGATGGGATCTATGTTTAGTTTTATGCATTTCTCTATAAGGATGCTGTGTTTTACACGGATAATATATTTAGAAAAGTCTATATATACAAGAAGTGACAGTTTCTTACTGTCATTATTATTATATACTTGATCGGTTACTTTTAGAAGTGAATGTAGAAAGCCTTTGTAGAGAGAGGGGGGGGGATAACCAACTAATAGGTATGCAGATATCCAGACAGACACATGGTCAAACAGTGACAGTATATTTAAAGGGTAAAATATTTAATCAGCAGCTGAATAGTTACTCTCGCATTCGCCCCGCCGTGAACACCGCCGGCGGGAGCGAGAAAGGTCGGCCGCCCTTTTGACACGTCTTTTGCAGGCGGTCCCGGGCCGTCTCTGTGGCCCTCGATTGGGCTCTAACATGCGAAATAGATCAAGATTAGTGACCCAGATGTGGTGCTTTTTGTTTGAATTGCATTAGCTATAACAAAGAAGGACCGAGAGAGAGATTCGATTTGATAAATTTATACGGCCGGTGGATAAGACAAACTGGCAAAGAAGTACAAAAGGCGCAGGAGAGAGATGGGGGGGGGGGGAGACTGACTGCTCGCGTTCCTCCCAAGACGCTTGCGCATGGCGTCATGAGTCAGTGACAGTAACACAACGCCTGACACGGCCTTGGGGCCATCTGTCAGCTGGCCCGCCCGCCCCAGCTGGCTACGCCGGCCCGCCCGCTGCCCCGACCTCCGCGCACCTTTAGTAACGACAGAATACAATAAAAGGGTCATGCACTGAGCGAAATGGGCCTCCGTCTGGGAAAACAGGCAGCCTATAGAGCAGGGTTCTTCACACCTTCAGTGCAACCCAGTCTGGTTTTGCACTCTTCATTCACGATCTAGTATGTCCAGTCTAGTGTACCTCTGTCAACTTGATATTATTTTACGTAAATATAAATGTGTGTGTGTGTGTGTGTGTGCACAGGGAGCCTCCATCTAATGAAATAAGAAGCCCATTTTCATGAAACCGAGGGCCTGCTGTGCCAATAGCTCGGTGGTTCTGCTGTCAAGGACACGGCAGTGTAGGAATAGTATTGATAACGAAGCTGTGGTAAACATGTCAGTGATAATAATAGCCTATTAATGATATAATGATAATAATGATATGAAAAATCACGATAATACTAATGATAACAATAATCCTGCCTCCAATACAAATACTACTACCAATGAGCACAGAAACGACAGACAGCGACGCTGACACAAATAACAACAGAGATGGAAGCGCCGCCGGACGAGGTGCCTCCGCCGCCGCGGCCGCCCTTCCCCTGGCGGGCGTCTGGCGGCTCCGGGCGGGGGCGCCAACAGCCTTGGCTTCTTCATTTCATCGTACTTTCCATAAAATCGGTGGATGAGCAATTTTAGAATACAAAAGCACACACACAAAGCAAACTATCGATACAATCATTAGTCCAGCATCACGGTTGACGTCGCCTGCAAATTATCTGCTGTGCGTTCCTTCTGCCTCGCCGCCGGAGCCAAGGCCTGTAGGCCTCGTCCGGAGGAGCCTCGTTCGGAAAGGTTAGATCAGTAGCAACTCGAGGAGGTGCCATGGCGTCTGATTCTATTTTTGGAGAAAAAAGCATATGGGGTTAATTTGCTGACGTCACATTTTGGTCTCTTCAGTTTTCAAAAAGGATAGAAAATAATTATTTTAGTGGTTACATTTTAATTGAACAATCATCAAAGCACACGCCATGACACCTCCTCGAGTTGCTACTGATCTAGCCTTTCCCTTCGCGCATCTGCGGCCCCATGCCCCCGCCCCCTCTCTGGCAAGGAGCAGGATGGAATGTAAACAAAACACAAAACAAAAAAGCATAGTTTTTACAACAATTTAGTGCTAACTGCTACTAGCGGTCCTTTCCCTCCTTTTAACCCGATACTTTGTGTTTTGTTGGACCTTCTGCCATAATTCTCTCTCACTGCACTCGCAGCAGCGAAGCCAAGGCAGCAGCTGCAGAAACTACAAAAACGAAGCCAAATAAAAGGAACGCGCTTGCGCAGCGCAAGGACGCGGGAAGGCCTCTGGGCTCTTGAGCGACACCACTCTTGAGCCGCGACACTGGCGATGATGCTGTAGAGATCAAATGAATTGAAAGCTTGGCTATATTTTTATGATGATGATGATGACATTGGCTCTAATGTCACTGACAATATTAACAACTGTGATAGTAGATATTGTCTAATTGCTGTTGTTAATATTGGTGACTGAGGCTTATTTTAATGTCAAGCAGTTCCCGGATGCGCCCCCTTCATTCCTCACTTGACCCTTCGTTACTCGCTTGACTTCCCTGCTCGAAGTCTGACTGTCGCGTCGACGAGACACGAGAGCGCGCAAGAGTACTAGAAAAAAAAACGCCTTAATCATCCTTGCATTCCCTCTTACTCAAAGCTCAATCAAATATCAAAGCCAAGCATAATTCCGCCCGAGTGAGAGGATAAATTGTGACTCGCGAATTAATAAAATCAGAAAGATCCGCTGGTTGTCGAGCGGGCGACACCTGCGCCGCCGAGCGAAAGGCCGCAATGAACTCGCCCTTTTCCCGCTGATTACGAGAGGCCGCCGAGCGTAATTGCACCGCCCGCCGCTTGTGGGCGGCTGACGTAACAATTGTTCAGTTTAAAACGTTATTGATTGTTATTGCCTCACTGCTCAGCGGCTGCTAATGGCCCGAAATTATGCTGGTATTGTCGGTTCCGAGGAGGCGGCTATGGCAGGTGGTGCTGCCATCTGCCGGGGCCGAGAGAAAGTATTGGCTTAATTTCATAATTTCTAGTTAAAGAGAAAGGAGAGAGAGAAAAAGAAAGGGGAGGGGAAGATGGAGAGAGGAAGGAGGGACAGAGAGAGAGATAAAGGAGGGGGGGAGAGTGAGAAAAAGGGGAGGGGAAGGGAGAGAGGGAGAGAAAGAGAAAGGGGAGGGGAAGAGAGAGAGAGAGAGAGAAAGGGAAGGGGAAGGGAGAGAGAGAGAAAGGGAGGGGAGGGAAGGGAGAGGAGAGAAAGGGAAGGGAAAGAGAGAGAGAGAAAGAGGGAGGGAAGGGAGAGAGAGAGAAAGGGGAGGGGAGGGGAAGGGAAAGCGAAAGAGAGAGGGAGAAAGAGAGGGGTGGGGAGAAAGAGAGAGAGAGAGAGAAAGGGGTGGGGAAGAGAGAGAGAGGGGGGAGGGGGAAAGGAACAGACAAAGAGAAAGAAGAGAGTAGGGGCCAGACAGACAGGCAGGCAGATAGGCAGGTGGACAAAGAGAGAAAGAGCGACGGACAGACAGACGCTTAAAGTGAAAGACAGAGAGACTGCGAACAGGATGACTGTCGTTATTGTCTTCGCTGTTCTTTCTCTGTCGGCGTTTCCTCGGCCTCCGCGCCATCGCATTCGCCGAGGCCGCTGTCGCCGTCGACGTCGTCGTGGAAGTCAACCTCAGTGACACGTTTCGCTGCTGCGAAGGGGCGTGGCCATGCAAAGCATCAGCCGCCTTAGCAGCAACACCGACCGTAATAGTAATGATGATGATTCGAAGAACGATCATAATCATTATCATTGTGCCATAATCATCATCATTCTAATCGCAACCTTCATAATCATAATATTTATCATCTTCATCCTTATCATCATCATTCTCCTTCTCCCCATCCTCATCATCATCACTCTCCTTCTCCCCATCCTCCTCCTCATCATTATCATCCTCATCCCTTCCCTCCTCCTCCTCCTCTCCCCCTCTCCCACGCCCTCCTTCGCCTCCCGCTCCTCCGCCTATCACCCCCCTCCCCCCTGCCCAGGGACGAGGTGTCGAATGACGCGAGGAGAAAGGGCGGCGCCGAGGGAGCAGAGGAGGAGGAGCGAGAAGAGAAGGAGGAGGAAGACGGGGAAGAGGAGAAGGAAGGGAGGATGGGAGGGCGAGGAGGAGAGGAAAGGGAGGAGATGGAGGAGGAGAGGGGAAGAAGCTATGAGGAAGAAGAGGAGAAGACAAGGAGGAGAGGAGGAGATGGCTTCTGTAACAAGACTTCTCTGTTTCTGTTTCCTGATTCCTTTCTTCGCCATTTCATTTTTCTTGATCTTTTCTTCTTTCATTTTTTTCTTTCTCGCTTCCTTTTGCCTCGAAATTTTCTGGCTCTTTTCCGCTCCTCGTCTTTTCTTCTTCCTCATCTCCTGTCCCTTTACGTATCTTCTTTATCATCTCCTTTCCTTTAGCTTCCTCATCCGCATCTTCCCCGCCACCGGATGTCAAAACACGTTCTGTAATGAGAATAAAAAATGCATTAATTAAGTAACGTAATATTAGTGACGTAACCTAAAACGCAATTAGCATGTTATTTTATCTACGATATGCGTCAGTATATTCTTAAATCTTTCGTAAAAAATGATATGCATATGAAATTGAGGGATCTATAATAGTAACGTATTTCAAAACAAACGAATCTTGCATTTATTTTCTGCAACTTGTAACGAAAATGAAAAGTGCTGATGAAGAAGCCGTCACTCACCCTGACATCGTCAGCATCGATCCATTTGCTTCTCTTTCACTCGTTCGCCTCGATCGCAGCGAACCGGGTTGGCTGCATCGCGTCTGCCTACTCCACGAATTCCACAGCTCGCG